TCTGTGATACTTTCTGCACTTGTGACCCTATTCCGTGATTTCTGCGGCATTCCGTGCAACGCAGAAAATCACTGGCCCTGAGCATATCATGCATATGCATGGCATAGAAAACACTATTTTGCCCATCTCTAAAAAGAACTTCAGACTGAACTAGAGTGAAACTAGTAAAAAAAAAAAATCTATCAATTTCTGGAAATTCCAACTTCTAGTAAAGATTAAACTATGGTAACTAAACTTGAAGATCTTAAAAGCTGGAAAAAGAAGTACCAAAAGAGTTCTTATTTTTATTCAGACTAAGAAAGGAAATCCGAATTGCTAAAGAATGACATCATATCTAGAGTCGATTCTACATTGAAGGGAAAGGATCTTGAACTTTAAAGCACTCAAAAAAAAGTCAGTAACGAAAAACCAGAGAAATAAAAATGAAAGAATCTAGATTAAAAACTAGAAAAACTTAGATCTAAAGATAGAGACAGAAGATTAATATAAGTAAGTATATATATTTTTTTTAAAAAAAAAAAAAAAAAAAAAAAGTAAACCAGAACCAAAGAAGTATATAAAACTTTACTCAAAACAATTTGAAAGAAAGAGATTTGGTAAACTTGCCACCAACAATGGTAAAAGATCTTGCTTGAACAAGCTCATTTCATTATGAAATTCTCTTTGAGAAGCCAAGAACAAAAAGACTATAAAAGAAAACTCAGGATAATATAAAGTGTAAAGCTGAAAAAACTAAAAATTGTGAAGCTAAAGAAAAAGACAAATAATGAAAAAGAGTTAGTAGTTAGTAGATTATCAATATAACTAATAATCTGATAATCACATGAGTAATACTAGTCAAGATAAAAGATAAGAATATGAATAAATAGTTAAATAAGTGATGTATCCAAATTCCAAATATAAGGTTTAAATATTATATTTTTTTTTATATATAAATATTATATTTTTAAACAAGTAGTTTTTTTTTTTAGAGCAGGTTGAGATCTTGCAGCCTAGTAGTCTAGACATTTAACTCTCTATGAGCAGGTTTTGGGTTTAAGTTCTAGTAGATACATTTACTAATAAATATTTGAAAGTATCTGCTATGGGAAGTCCAAGTAAATACAGGTCTAGATTAGAAATTACTAGAAGGAGGTTCATTGTAGAGTAGTTGGCACTATATATAATAGTGGTTGTTATAGAAGGTTCTATTATACAAAGGTTGTGTGTATAAATCCGCAATTAGCAAGATAGCATTAACAACCCCTAAGGTGGCATTGAGAATTTTGTTTGGAAGAATGACTAGGTGGTAACTAGAATTGAAAAGTGGTGAGAAATGTAGTGAATACAAAAAGACCTGTGATAAAGAATTGGCCTTACTAGATTTAAAATACCTCTGGCACATACAGAACTCACTGACAATAAGAAGTTGAAGCATGAAGACATGTACGTATTGATAGACCTAACAGGCTCTGGTCATACCCTTATGGGAGTTTTCGAACGTTGAGAGGACTCAGGACTACCAATACAGGTATAGCTAGTATAAGTGAATATAGCAATAACTGAGGCTACAATTGCCAAGAATCACTATAAATAGAAACAATGATGCACTTGTTAAGAACCTCTAGACCTCATGATCCTATCCAACTATATCAAATACTAGAAACATATGCAAAATATGTCTAGGCAAGTCTTGTTACTATATTGGGAAGTACAGTTATTCGCACATTACCGAATTTGAAATATTAAGATCTAGGTTTCAGAAACTAGCTAGTTATAGCAGCATGCAGGCTTGAGATACTTACCCAATTAGGTAAAGATAGCTGCATAGCTTGAGATATAAACTCCTAGAAGTATACTAGTTGGGACTGGGCACACCAAACTGGGAACAATAAGTGCCCACCTAGTATATACCAATTTGGAAGTTACCATATATTGCCGAAAATAAGCCACCTCCAAAAATAAGCTACCCACTTTGTTTTGATCGAAAATCCTAAAAATGCCTTATGTTCAAAAATAAGCTACCCCTTCTGTCACACAAAAAATGATTAATAAAATTTTTTGTTTTGAAAATAAGCTATCTTCCAAATCTGATACATATATATTGTAATATATTTTATTTATTTATTTATCATACAGTATAATAGAGGTATACTGTATGTTCATATTTGATAACAATAATATTTTTTATTACTCAATCTCGATTACTAAGTTTACTTCTTTGTGCTTAAAATACTTAGACTCTACAGGTTTATTTATTTACATTTGAATTATTCAACGCTTTTTATCTATTTTTATTGTTCGTGGAAATCTAATTTAAATTGAAATTAATGATATATTTATTCTAAAATAAGTGATCCAGCAATCTTTATTTTTGTTATTATAAATTAATTTATTTATTACCAATATTTATTTGAATGAATTTAATATACACTGGAGATAAGATTTACTAGTTATGCTACGTTTCAAATAGATTTCTTTATTGTGCTAATTAAAAGTACTTTAGAAAACTCTACTATTTTGATTTTTTGCACCAATAAAATATATGATTCAATCACTAATATATCTATTTAATTAGAAATTTCACAATTATGACATAAATTATTTAAGATAATATTTTCTTACGCTGTAAAAATATCGATTTATATTTATTATGATATCATGATTACTGAATTACAATAAAATCAAATTGTTGATAATTAACTACATTTAAAATCTACTTTTATAATATAGTATACAGTATTTAGTCTTTTTAAAAATAAAATAAAATAAAACAAATAACCAATTTGAATCTTTACCTTATACAGTAATAACAACATAGCATTCTAGCCACTTATTATATTCGGTTGTATTCCCACTTTCATCAGATTCACCTTCATCAGATTTACCTTCATCAGATTCACCTTCATCAGATTCACCTTCATCGCATTCATCTTCATCAGATTCTATAGTATCTTCATCAGAATTATTATCTTCTGAATTCCTATCTCCCTCACCATTGTCATAAATTAAATGATCCTCACTTCCTGACAAGCAATTTGAAATACCGCACTTTTTAAATACTCGTTCAATAATGTTATCAGAAATATCATACCAGGCGCTTAAAACCCAATGACAAACTGTGTTCAAATCGGCACGTTTCAAGTTTTCACCTTTAGTTAAGCTATTACCACCATTAGCTATCCATTCATACCAATGTTTATGAAGTCTATCCTTAAAAGGCTTGTTAATGCAAATGTCAAGAGGTTGGCACATACTGGTTAGACCCCCAGGGATTACAGCCAAATCAGTATTTCTAGAACGAAACGCAGCCTTAATCTGATCTGTAATATGTGCAGAAAAAGAATCTAAGACAAGCATTACCTTCGAATTATGAGACCCTAATCGTTCACGGTTTCAATACTTTATCCATTTTTCCATTCCAGGTTCATCTATCTATCTCTTGTCCTGGAACCAAACAACCACACCAGCTAGAGGTGGAGGTGTATTAATAGGCCAAATCTTTCTCTTAAAGATGATAACTGGAGAGAGCTTAAAACCATCGGCAAGACATGTTAAAACAACAGTAAATCGATTTTTATCATTGCTTGTTGTACGAATATGAACTGTTTTGGCACCTTTTGTATCCACAGTCAAATTCCTCGCCATATCAAACCAAACGGGTGTCTTATCCATATTGGCTATCATGTCAAGAGGATACTCATTTTTTTGACGAAGCTGGATTACAAACCTCTGAAAGTTAAGAAGTTGGTCTTCAAGATCTCTTGGTAACTTCTGTGTGATTTTGGTCTTACGTTATAAAGCAAAATCATGGCATTTCAAAAAGCAGCTAAGCCATCATGATGAAAACTTAAAGTTGGTAATTGCAAATTTTTTTCTATCATCCTTGGTTTGTTTAGAGCTCTTATTCATTATTTCAGCCATTTTTACTCTTAGATTAGAATACGTTATAGCAAGACCATTATATCGAACTATCTTTACCCATTTATAAAGTTGGGCTTCTTCTTCGGGAAAAAAAGCACGATGTCCAGAACCAACCCTTCGTGAATTTTTCTTGGAAGGGATACCTTGTGAAAATTGTTTAACCCACTAACCAAGCATCGTTAGATCTAAAGAATAATAGTTGGCAGCATGTGTGTTTGAAGTACAATGAGCCAACTCCACAGCTTTCTCTTTTTCTTCAACTGAATATGAGTTTCTTTGTCTTTTCATATTCCAAACTTGAATAGCAAAAGTTTAAGTGGCGCTTTACAAAAGTTTTCTCTTACTAAAAAAAACAGTATTTATATAAAGTTCCTCTGCTTGCATAAAGGTGATGTATAAAAAAGATATTATGGCTTTTATTTTTTTACCTCTGATTTCTTCAATGATCACATATTTGAAAATAAAAGTATTTGAATTAAAAAAAAAAAACTAGTCTTTAAGTTTTTAAAATAGTGTGCGTATAATGTAAAAAAGCTCAAGTGACGAAAAATATTTGAATTAAAAAAAAAAGTCTTTAAATTTTAAACTAGCATGCGTACGTGCGTGCATATAATGTGGAAAAGCCCAGGTATCATGATTTTTATTTCTTTTTTGCTTATTTTCTCAGGCTGCTACTATTTTCTAATAAGGTAAAGCGATTTTTTTGTTTTAAAGTAATATTTGTGAATGCATATAATGTGAAAAAAAATCCCAGACATCATGGTTTTTATTTCTTTTTATTTTCTCAGAAATACTAGTATTATTTTAAAGTTTTAAAAAAAAATTTTTTGACAATTGAGCGATTACCAATATTGTCTAAAAGTAGCATTTTATCGATATAAAAAGAAAATATGCATGTATGTTCATATAACAGATACGTAAGATAAAAATATAAATCTAAAATAGATAAAATTTCACTTGTTGGTTTTTATACCTGAAAGTAAGCTACCTTTTCGTTGAATCTTAAATTACCTAAAAATAGTAAATACCCGAAAATAAGCTACCTTTAATTTTTTGTACTCAAAATTTGCCGAAAAAAGGTAGCTTATTTTCGGCAACATATGGTAAGATATTTGGTATATGGGTAAAGTGGCAAACATGTGAATACTAATTGGTAGTTAAGAAGAGATATATAAATTCAGGTCAATCACATGTGTCGGAGTGTTGATAGCTTTGGTGGGTTTAGCTATAAATAAATAGTCTTAGATCTAAAGTCCTAGTTCTAGTTCTAGTATGTAATACTATATATATGTATTTCGGCACTACCTTGTTTAAATATTAATAAAAGTTTAAAGCAGGCACTATACCCTAATATTTTTTTTGAATTTAAGCAATCCTGCCTCTATTTATTTTATAAACTACTATACGATTATTACATAAGTAACTCCCGATATAGTGTAATACTTTATTCTAATAGAAACTCACCAAGCGTACTAAGTACTGCCCAATGCAACCTACTAAAACAACTATTACTTTACAGAAATCTTATATTTTTTTTTCCAGACATTTAAAATTTAATAATAATCTTAACGATATTTATTTTATTTTATTTTTTTTTAGTTAAGGAGACCTCTTTGGCCTGAAAGCTTTTATTAGGATTTGAAACGGTGTTTTATACGCAATTACAACGATGGT